TGTTCTTCAGTGCTGAACGAAGAATCGCTCAGGTGTGGATTTCTTTTTAATCCACCCGTACATGTTGTACAACAAATTCATGTTGAATTATGAGTTCTTTGACAAATAATACTCCAAAACATTCAGTCGTAAAGATAAAGCAGCGGATAATCCCGAGGCCATGAAAAATCTGAGGTCATGGTCCTCGGTTGAAAAAGGGGGGATCGCTCTCTCCGGGTCGAGGGTGAGGAGTTCAAGTATCTCGGGGTTTGTTCATGAGTGAGGGAAGAATGAGAGATTGATGCAGCATCTGTAGTATTGTGGACTCTGTGCCGGTCCATTGTGGTGAAGAGGTGTAAGGCAGAGCTCTGTTTACCGGTCAGTCTACGTTCCTCCCCTCACCTCTGCTCATGAACTCTGGTAGAGACTGAAAGAATGAGATCGTGGATCCAGGAGGTTGAAATGAGATTCCTCTGCAGGGTAGCTGGACTCTCCCTTGGTGATGGGGGAGACCCCGTAGAAGATCCAGGACACGCTGGAGAGACTACATCTCCAGTTGGCCTGGGAACGCCTCGGAGCCCACCCAGAAGAGGTGGCTGTGGAGCGACGTCTGGACACCCCTGCTCAAGATGCTGCACCCGAGACCAGACTTCAAAATAAGCGCAAGATAATGGATGGATGGTTAAAAAGCTCAACATCTGGAAAGGTTTTAGTTTTTCTTGCTAATTTTGCCTGCATCGTCTCGTGCACCGTTACTAAACGCTGCAGCACAAAATTCACAATTGAATATTTTTTTTTGATTTTCTCCAAAGAAGAAATGCAAATCAAACATAAGAGAATAAAAGTCTTATAACAAACGTGGAAAAATATGCAGAAATTCTTGCTTTTTGATCGGTCCTTGCAATTTATTGTTGAAAACAGACACGGAACGTACATCAAGCCTTACCTTAAGAAGTCACCAGGTGAAACAGGTTTATACCTCCACGTTGCGTTAGCTCAGCAGGCTAACTGTAGCATGGAGTGGCAGACATTTTGGTACTTAAGAGACCCCAGTTTGGTTTATTTTGTAATCCGATTGTTTGACCAAGTCTTTTTTAATATTAAATCAAACTCACTAGAACTTGAATTCTTGTCCTCCTGTTAAATCACTAAAACTGTTTAAAACGCGTGAACCGGTTTTTAATATTTCTGTAGCTCTCTCAGAGCAGGCATAAAAATATCAACATACAGAGGCGTTGATGACGTCCGCCTTTGTGTCCCGTTCAGCTGTACATCCTAGAATACATTTAATGTTTTTATAAACCTTCATACACAGATGTAGAAGTTAGCTCACAGTCAAACTAAAGCTGGAACCTGGAGTTCTCAGAGGGTAAAGCTACGGGGCAGAGAAGTGTCGTCTCGTTGCATAGCCCTACGTTTGTTAGTCAACAGTCATCCGCAACAACTTTTTGTTTGTTTTCTTTCTTGTACCTGTGAGTTCACAAACTGCCCACAAAACCCTCACAAAGCTCAAATCAAGATGATAAGGAGAAAAACCCAAACAACCTGGGTTTCTATGGCAGAGAAGAAACATATATACATACTTTTTTGTTGTAATTTTAAAAAAAAAATGGCACTTTCCCTTCACCCGGACGCATCTTTCCTGGAACTCTGGCAGTATATTTGAAAGAGAAAGGCAACAAACCACAAACCTTGTAGACAAAAGTACAGACACCACATTGTGACACCCCTCTCATGCACTACTTTGGAGTAACTGGACAAATTCTGATTTACCTACCACAAAAGTCAGTACAAAAAAGTATATATATATATATATTTTTTTTTTTGCATTAAAACCAGATTCAAACACAAATTTTGTTCTGTGTATCCCAGCCGCTCCGTTCTGGTAAAGTCTGGTCCACGGCGAGGCTGCGACGCATGGCAGTAAACGAGGCACTTAGTATTTAGCCACTTAATGTCGTAAAGAGTCCCTCGGCTTCGACGTCCTCTGAAACACCTTGAACAGTTTATAAAAACGTTACAGAGAAAAAGTCAATTTTATCCATGATTCTTTTCAGCAAATAAATAAGAGGGATGCACTGATACGTGTTTTTAATCTGAGTACAAGTACTTATATTTGAGTATTGATAATAACGTATGCTGAGAGGAGTAGTAATAAATGCCACTACAATTCTTACAGTTGGTAGAACTAGGCCCGTCACGATAACAAATTGTGCTGGGCGATTAATTGTCTCCGAAATTATTGCGATAAACGATAATATTGTTTGAAATTTGACAATAATTAGTAATTATTGTCAAATTTAAGAAGAAATGTTTAATTTGTTTTGGGTGTAGTACCTTTTTTGACCACTGTATGGCAGTAAAAGACCAGTTGAACCAAAGGATGGACAGTGAGGGAGCGAGCAGCGTGTCTTTAAGAAAAACGGGAGGGAGGCTCCTTGACGTGACATGGGCTGTCTCTATTTACTTTTTTTCAGTTCTCAAAATGGCGGACGCTCAGTGTGGTTTGAGCTCTTTAGCATTTTTCACACAAAGCTTTTAATAAAAAAATCAGTAAACAACTTCTCACCTTTTTGAAGAGAAAAACAACTTTTTACACAAAGACACGGGTTTCAACCGTGAATTTGGAGCTTCAGCAATTTTCCCGGAGGTTGGCCTGTTAGCTTAGCTCGTAGCTTAGCTTCTCAGCTTAGCTGCTTTTAACGATCCAATAGACGCGATTTTTGACAGTTAAAACAGATTTTAAGGAGAAAAGAGAAAGGGAGGGGTCAGTGAAGAAGCCTTTTGTCATCCAGCGTCTTCAGTAGAAAGAGAGACACGAACAAACGATAAAGCTGATAAATGAAAATGAGGTCGATAATTTTAATTTATCGTGCGATTAATTGATTAATTGATTTATTGTTTATCGCAACAGGTGTAAGTAGAACCTCTAATGACATATTTAATCTGCTCCAAAACTTGAAGATTCATATTTGAAACATATTTCTCGATTAAAATAATTTGTTCCAACGCCACAAACATGTAGTGTACGGCACATTACACACCAGGGCTGGGCGATATGGACCAAAATTAACATCTCAATATTTTTAAGATGAATGGCGATATACGATATAAATCCCAATATGTTTTTCTTTCCATAAATTTCAGAGTCAAAGCTTTGTTCGAATTGTCACACAGGCACATTTATTAACAATCAGCTGTAACTGTACAAAATAAATGTCTAAAAAATAAACTATTTACATTTATTAAATATTAATCCTCTTCAGTTGCGCCGCCTTCACGACGTTAGTAAGCGCGTATGAAGCAGCACGTGAGGGGCTGATTGTATTCAGTGAGAGAGAAGGAGGGGCTTGTGAAGCTGGCAGCGCAGACAGGCAGAAAAATAATAAGTCTAATTATAACTCAACGTAGAAATATCAATATAGATGATACAGTCCCATCTTATATCGCATATGAAATTATCTTGATATTCTTAAAATATCGAGATATCGCCCAGCCCTATACACACCCGTCGACAAACTGTTATACAGCATTACTGCAACAAGCAAAGCCCTTGTATAACATTTGACCTTGCTTTGTGACCTTGACCTTGGAGCTAAGGTGATGAAAAGCTTATGCAGCACACAGGCTAGTGATGGTATAAATGCATATGATGTTTCATTAAATTACCTTGAGTGAATTATGATCCGGAGGAGCAAAGACCTTGTTTTAACTTTGACCTTCATTTGCGACCTTGACCTTGAAGTGATAAAAAGTGTACGCGGCACTCGCCAAGTGATGATGCATGTATTTATGAATGTATATTAAATTATTTTGAGCAAATCAGAAGTTACAAGTGGCGACGTCAACAGATGTCCCTGTTAGGAGGCATTAGCCTAGCATTAGCTTAGCACCTTCCTCTGAGACCGTCTGCAGCTTTTACTCATTAAGCAGCTCATTAAGCAGCTCATTAAGCAGCTCATTAAGCAGACTTCTTGGGGATGACTCAGATAACTGGTCAGTTTGGGCCATTTCCACATCACCCATTTTGTTCCCTCTCCTCAAAAAGGTGTAGATTAACGGTGGCAGCCGGCCTGGCTAATCGCTAACTCAACGGGTTGCTACTGGATTGTCTTTAGCTGGTGGATAACTCCTACACTGCTCTTTGACCTTAATAAATATGAAAGATTTCAGCCTCTTACCAGGGACTAAGATTGGCAGGAAACTCGGGCTCAGATTTGTATATTCCCAACCGATCACGTTTAAATACATCCATACTGCGTAGACTTCAACTGGCGTTAGCAAACATTTTTGTAGCCGCATCAGTAAGGACAAAAGAAATCACCTAAACAAAGGTGTTTTGTTTTTGATTAATCTACCTGTTCACGACTGAAAGTGCTCCTCCTCTTCTGCCCGAATGCCCAACTGAAACGTGAACGTAACGCTACCATGAAGTGGTACTGATAATGTAGCGTCGGAACATTTTTACGAGTATAACTACACAGTATCAGACAAATACCCAGTACTGGTATCAGTGCATCCCTGTTGTTTGATCGGCGTTATTTCAGAGTTTTAAGACCTGAATGAAAACTATGTTCCTAATCTGCTTTGGCAAAATTGGTTTGCTTACATTGTAGTGACAGCTATATAAATAAAAATGAACAAAAGAGACAATTAAGAGTCTTTTAGTAGGTAAGACCTTTCACCCATCTAAAAGACGAGACAGAAAATGAACCATTAAAAACTAAAACAGTGCTGTGAGTCGCCGTGATGAGACCCGGAATGAGGCGTTCAGTTCGCAGCTTCACTCAAAGATTTTGGCTTTTGTCTTCGGCTCCAGTGGATTTATGAACCAAGGCAAACAGTTACGGGTTTTCACATGTGCGAGAATTTCAGTGCAAGTAAAGGGGATAGAAAAGTTATTTCATCTGTAAAGAGAGAACACTACAAAACTGGACTGATCTCCTTTTCTTCCACCTTTTTCCTGCCGACTGACCTCCTCTGGACCCGATGTGAAAGTTCTGTTTCAGCAGTCTGCCATGTTAGCACCAGTCCTCCTCCTCTTGCTCCCTGAGACCTCCTGTTCTTCTGTTCCCCAGGGTGAAGTGGTACCCATTGGGCACCCCCGCTGCCCGCCCCTGCACTGTGGCTGCTGTGGCAGGTGCAGCTGCAGTCCCCTGTGAGGATGCCGCGGAGGCTGAAGCAGCAGTCCTGGCGGCACGTCCGCCTCCGTGGCTGCTCGCGGCATCCTGAAAGTCCTTGCTCTCCTTGAGGAGGGCTTGCTGAGAGGAGTCCAGCTGCTGCCGGTTGGGGTTAGAGTCCGAACCAATGCAGGTAACGGGTATCGAGGACTCGCTGTGGCCCAGGAGCAGGCGGTCGTGCTCTGAAGGGCCGCGGCTGAAGCGAGTCTGGTGCCCCGTCGTGGGTAAAGGAGCTGACGAGGTGACGGTCTTGAAGGCCACGGCAGGACGAGGCGTGAGCGGCGTCTGTGGGAGCTGTCTGCGACTGCGCAGCTGTGCGTTTGTACCAGCTTTAACCACACCACTCTCCTGCTGAGAAAGAACATCAAACAAGGAGCCAAAGTTCAACCTAAAGTATAATAACGTCTGCATGAACCCCAACAGAGTTCAGAACCTGGAACTAACATGTGTCCGGGGCGGTCCGGTCAGAAGTGGTCTGAGACTCTTAGCGTTAGCTGCGCCCTTATTTGATCTGATCACCCAGGATGAATTATACAAACACTTGGTTCTGTCCACTTGTGATGAACCGGATCATCGTGGTTACATGTTAGCACCAAGTCTGAACAGCTCCTAATGACCAACAACAGGGTTTAAAGAATCTGCAGGATCTTCAGGATCCAGCTGTGAGGAACACTTCATGTTACTGACCTGTCTGTAGAAATCAGAGTCCTGACCCTCCCCTGGAGACGTGGACCGGCTGGGACCGGCTGACCTGGTGTAGCACTGCTCCCTGCTGCCGTAACGCTCGCAGGAGTAGTACCGCTGCTTCTCCCCCGCAGAGGAGTGGTGCCTCCTCTCATGGGGGCGACTGCGTTCCCGCTCCCTCGCTCGCTCTACGGACAAGTCTTCAGTTGGGGGGTCCGTAATCGAACCTGCAAGATGGTACCATGAGTCACAGCGAAGTGGTCACATTTAACGCTCGTTAAGACTGAAATCAGTTCCCTCAGTGCACGAATAGTTCTAGTTTTCAGAGGAAACCTGTAACGACAAGAACACAGAAGATCCCTCGTTTTCTCTTACACCGATGTTCTCGTGTTTCACGGAGACGTAGCGATAAATCCTGTCTGCTGTGGCCTTTTATCTCACTGCAACCCTTCACTGTGGACAGAAAAACACCCACCTCTCAGGCTTTAATCACCTCACCTGATGACCCGTAATAATAACTGACTAAGAATCTTCTGCTTAAACGGAAAGGAATTTGACCTCTGTTAAAGAAAAACTTCTGCGATTTATGTCCATTAAAACCATCAAACACATTCTAAACTCGTCAAACACTCTTATCATTTCAGTAGTTTAATTTTGGCGAGTCATGGTTTAGGTTGGTCTCACCAACGGTGCTGGACGGCGGCACTGATGACATTTTCTCTAAAGACTTTTGCTTCTTGTCTTTGTCCCGGCGTCGATGGCAGTGGTGGTGGTGATGGTGGTGGGCTCGGTCCTGGCCCTGGACTTGTTCTGGATCTGCAGGAGGTTGGGTTTGACCGACGCGCTCCAGGTCGTAGTCCCTCAGCCCGACCTCCTGTTGGTGGCGCTGTGGCGTCAGCGAGGAAGCTGAACGTTTTATAGGACTGAGGTCAACGATTGGCTGAACGGAGGGGGTGAAAAAGGTAAAACAGGCGCCTCAGATAAGATGGCTACACCCAAACCTCCTGTTCTGAATCTTTAACATAAATACACAACCAGAGATCAACAACGTTTTTATCTACAGGTCTAACAAGCTTCCTCTCCATCATAAATGTTGCAAACGTTGAGAAATATCAACACAATTCTGAAAATGATCACATAGGCCTGTCGCGATAAACAATAAATCAATTAATGGCACGATAAATTAAAATTATCGACCTCAATTTCATTAATCGGCTTTGTCGTTTCTTCACGTCTCTCTCTTTCTGAAGACACTGGATGACAAAAGGCTCAACTCCGGTTCTTCACTGACCCCTCCATTTCTCTTTTCTCTTTAAAATCTGTTTAACCGTCCAAAATCGTGTTTTTGGATCGTTAAAAGCAGCTAAGCTACGAGCTAAGCTAACAGGCCGACCTGGGGGAAAAAAACCTCCGTCTCATCGAAGCTCCAAAATTCACGGTTGAAACCTGTGCCTTCGTGTAAAAAGTTGTTTTTCTCTGCAAAAGAAGCTGAGAACTTGTTTACTGATTTTTTATTAAAAGCTTTGTGTGAAAAATGCTAAAGAGTTCAAATCACACCGAGCGTCCGACATTTTGAGAACCGAAAATAGTAAAGAGAGACAGCCCATGTCATGTCAAGGGGCCTCCCTCCCATTTTTCTTAGAGACACGCTGCTCGCTCCCTCACTATCCATCCTTCGGTTCAGTCTTATACTGCCATCCAGTGGTCGATAAAAGGTACCATATACAAAAATTAACCAACATTTCTTCTTAAATTTGACAATAATTACTAATTATTGTCAAATTTCAAACAATATCGTTTATCGCAATAATTTCTAAGACAATTAATCGCCCAGCAAAATTTGTTATCGCGACAGGCCTATGATCACATTACATAATTTATAAGCTAACAGAGACGTGGTGGTGGGGGTGACACTGGCCTTTGCTTTTAATTCTGAATAAACTGTTCACTTGTAGATTTATTAAAGTGTGCAAATGTATGCCGAAGAACATTTAGAATACAAAGACTCTAAATATTAAAAAATGTATATTAACCATCAATAATTAAATGTCAATGTAAAAGTTTTACCGTTTAAAACAACAAAAGGATCGTTTTTTAAATCTGGTCTCAACAAAAACAAAAGTAAAAGTAAAATAAACTCATCAAACTTTTACTAAACTGGGCAGATTAGGATCAGTTACGTGATATGAAGCAACAAAAAGATAAAAAAAAGGCTTTTATCACATTTAAAATGTGTCTGCATTTGTTCCTAAAGGATCCATATTTGGGCCAACTTGGTCTTGGCTACAAACCCGTAAAGATGACATCAAGACAAAACGGCTCTGAGTTTGCAAATCAAGTTAACTCATCCGCCCAGATTCCATTTAGACAAGGTTTGGTTCAAGAAGGAGCTCGTTTTTCCTAATAAGATCTCACTAAACTGCATTTTGTGTTCCATGTTCCAACTGCTGAACTCTTGTTGTAAAAAATAAAAAAAGTCCAGTTGTTGATTCATGCTGTTCAGAACTTTCTAACCAGAAACACATTAGAAACACAAGACTGTCAGAAATATGTTCTGGGCATGAAAGGGTTTGGTTTTAACAACTTATTGTTGTTACATTTTTATAAAGTATATGATTCAAACAATTGTGTCATCTTTGTATTCTGTTATTTACACTTTAAGACACCTGTCTTTTAATTCCCAACACATACCGTATTTTTGCCGTCTAAGTCGCATCTTTTTGCATAAATTTGGAAGTCCTGCGACTTATACACCAAAGCGACTAATATACTTTTTTTTCCATATTTATAACCAATTTTGGGCTGAGATCTGACGATTTCATCCATCCTGACATGAAAAACACTAAACATTACCATTTGCAGCTGCTACGGGTTCCTCGAGAATTATAGCAAGCCAAGTGTTTCATTAAAAGGTAAAAGTGTATTAATGAGCCACTTGGCTTGCCATACAGAGCCACCTTCGTCTCTCTCAGAACTCCTGGAGCAAACGTCAAATCAATGCAGCTGATTTGACCATTAAAGTGAATTTATTAAGGAGAAGTTCAACTGAGACACACCTTTGCTATAATGTCGAGCAAACAAATTGTTTTTAAGTGTTAATCTTATTAAATTCTTGCTAAAATCCTCCCGTGGCCGTCATTTTGGCAGTCAATCGATTTTTGCCACAACACCGGCCCACGTTTCTGGGTTGTCAGCAATGACTCATAATAGATGTGACTTATACGGCGAAGTGATGCATTTATGTTTTTTCCCATTTTATTAGACACAATTGGACTGATGTGACTTATACGGCAGAAAATACGGTAAATTTAGAAGAAATTCTCTGTTAGTATAATTACAGAACTTCTTTGACATTATGCATTAAAACCATTTTGCTCTTGGATAATTATTTCTATTTGCACTTTTAATCTATTTAATGTGTAATTTTTCCTTCAGTTTAAGGACAGTGACACTCTCCCCACCTAATTCTTACCTTCAGGACCAGTTGAGCAACCAGTGACCCAAACTGGTGAGATAAGGAACTGGAACTAGAGCGACAACTTTTAACCTTATTAATGTGAAAATAACTAAATGTAGGTGATGCTTGTTTGGAGATTAATAAAAGGGTATTTGTTTAAATAAATCAAGTCTGTTGACCACAATGATGCAGAATTTAGAGGCTTCTATTGAGCCCATTGGGTGCCACAAATAGATTTATGCCTTTAAATACAAAATGTTGATGTTTTGGGCCAATTTAAGTGGATTTGTTGTTCCTTTGTGTTCCCACCTCACAGTCTAGTTTGCTGCTGCAGTTAGAGACAAAAATATGACAGGACATAAATCATAATATTATCATTCTGTTGAGTATAAAGTCTTAAAATCTTACATTTAATACACAAAGAATTGGTGAGAGTCTTTCAAACTTTTATTTAAAGGCTGAAAGACTCAAACAGGAAGTGATGTACAATTAAAATAGGCGTGTTCTGTTGCTTTTTCAATCAGTATAAATTAAATAAGATTTTAAGACTGAACATTAGAAAAAAGAGTTAAAGACAGAAATGGTTTGTTTTTTTCTTGAATAGAAGAAGAGCAACAGTACGGTCTCCACCTTCCACATAACGACACAAACAGAAACACAAACTGCTGGAGCGACTTGTTGAAAAGCAGGAGAGAGAGCCGAACGTACCCAGAGTACACATACAGATACCTTTTCAAGGATGTATGGCTTCGATGAGGCATGTACATGTGTGCTTTACATTAATATGGAGGAAGTGGTGGAGTCTGGAGTGATGTGATGAGGCGTGAGAGAAAAAGCAGGAAATCAAGGGAGAGGGTCGTGGGAAGGACAGAGGAAGAAGCAGCGATAAAGAGGTGGCACAACAGGTGGTACATACTGCCAGGTGGGTCCCAGGGGCGTGGCGAGGGTGGCTCCGCTATCAGACAGCACATACAAGAGGAGGTGGGCAAAACATTAGCAGTGAGCACCAAAATCAGGAGAAAAAAGTGGAAGACAGCAGAGACTTCAGGAGGACGAGGCTGGGGATATTCTGGATTTTTTTTGTCAAAAGTCCCAAAAAAGCACCAAATAATTTCTTTATTTACACATATCATCTGATTATAACAAGCCTTTAAGAGTTTCTAATGAGCTTATTTTACCTGTTGCTTTTAGACCCGAGTCCTGCTTTGGATTCTCAAAAATCAGCTGACTGGATCATTTCACGACAGCAGATGGACGATACATGAAGCTGATGTTCTGATGGTTTTTTGCCAAAAACTACAACTTAATATAAACATTACACCAGTTAATTATACACTTTATAATCTACTAGATCTAGGAATAAATAAATAAATAAGGCTTAACGCTACTTGAAGGAATGGATATTGCCCTTCATCTTTTATTTCATTGTTTCAGGGCATTTTATGCTCAATCAGTAAAGAAGTCATTCAACCTTTATTTAAACAGGTTAGTCCCATTGAGCCACCAGGACTCATTTACAACAGGGACCTGGAGTGGGTTCTCGTTCATGTAGATGTGCGACACAAATCGCATCGTTTTGTTCTCGTAGTAGCATCGTACGCCACTAGGTCTATCATGATGAACAATAAATCAATTAAACGCATGATAATTGAAAATGATCTACCTCGTTTTCATTTATCGGCTTTATTGTTTCTTCATGTCTCTCTTTCTACTGAAGACACTGGATGACAAAAAGCTCAACTCAGGTGATCTTCACTGACCCCTCCCTTTCTCTTTAAAATCCATTTTAACCGTCCAAAATAGCATTTTTAGATCGTTAGAAGCAGCTAAGCTATGAGCTAAGCTAACAAGACGACCTCAGGAAACAAATCTCCGTCTTGAGGAAGCTCCAAAATTCACGGTTGAAACCCGTGACTTCGTCTAATAAGTTGTTTTTCTCTGTAAAAAGAAGCTGAGAACTTGTTTACTGTTTTTTTTTTATTGAAAGCTTTGTGTGAAAAATGCTATGCTAAAGAACTCAAACCACACCGAGCATCCGACATTTTGAGAACTGAAAAAAAGGAAGGAGACAGCCCATGTCACGTCAAGGAGCCTCCATCCCATTTTTCTTAAAGAGACACGCTGCTCGCTCCCTCACTAGCCATCCTTCAGTTCAGTCTTGTACTGCCATCCGGTGGTCAAAAAAGGTATTGCAACAAAACAAATTACTAAAATTTCTTCTTAAATTTGACAATAATTACTAATTATTATCAAATTTCAAACAATATTATCGTTTATCGCAATAATTTCTGACAATCACCCAGCAAAATTTATCGTGACAGGCCTATACGCCACTTCTTGACACAAGACCCAGTCCAAACTTTTTCTTATAGAAATATGCACCAATTATTGTGTGATTGATCAAAAGTTTGGGGACGTGTTTGATTATGCGGAAAAGCTCACGCACAAAAGCTGTCAATTCAACTCCACTTCCAGAAGTCGGCTGTTGTGCGTACAAGCAGCATGGCATGTGGCTCTTGTGGACTATGAATGGTATATTCAAAAATCTTGTGACTGTGAGCCGCCTGCTTGGCCTCAGACAGAGTATAAAGCAACATCAAGATCATAAATTTGAGAAATGAGGGAGTTTTGGTCAAAAAGTCAAACAGTATGCCGATGACCACCAACTAATACCACACAATTTTTGCTGTGTAAACGTAACATTACTGTGTAACATCCACTTTCATTTTGGTTTGTACAGATTATCCATGGTGGCCGTCTGGAATAATGCTGACTCAAAAAGTTAATCTGTAGTAGATGTTCATACAGTGATTAATTTCTGCGAGCTTTGTTTAAACTGTTCAGAGGTTGCTGCGTTATTTTGTACACAAAGAAAAACATGATCATCCGCCTCCACCTTTCTGCTGCGAGTGATCTTTATTAAAACATTTTAACACAGACGAGACTAAGTGAAAGAACTACAAACTTAAATAACACAGCCGATGATACAACTTCTTTCAGATCAACTGATACAACTTACAAAAAGTACATTTTAAAATAAAAAAGGTCCAAATTCACGTCATACTGCCACTAAAAATAAGAACCTACACTATTTATTCAAAGCAATGCATCAAGGAAATTTGCTAGAATTAGTTTAAGTTATTATTTTATTAAATTTTACTGAAGTGTTGATGGTTTTGGTCCTTCGTGTGATTTCTTGACAAAAAGTGAAGACAGAATAACCACAGCCTGAACCCTTCAAGGTGAAAAGAAGAAGCTGAGAGGTCAAAATGCAACATAAATATCAGAAAAGCACATGTTCAGACTTTGTGGGATAAATTAGGGAGACAGAGAGGAGGAGGACGAACCACAGAAACAGCAACGGACAGAATCTGACAGGTGGAACAATCCAGAAACACAGAAATGACAGCAATAAACAGTTAGTTCATCCTAACAAGACGTCAACAGGCTGCAGACAAGAGCAGGAACTTCATGTCACATAAGATAATAAATGATTAAAAACAAAAATAGTGTTAGAATGCAATCAGAGTGACCGTATAAACTTTAATATTTTAGTCTGGCATGTTTCAGGTGAACAAGCAGCCAATGAGGCGTCACAAGCTCTTCATTTATATTCACTTTTGTAATAAAAAAACATCTAAATCACTTTTCAAAATGCACCAAAGACCGATTGCAAACAGTTTTCTGTGGAAGTTTCCTTCATGCCAGTGTGGTTGTTGATGTTAGAAGTTATTTAAACTCTGAGCTTCCCGTAGTCTTTACATTTACAACCAGGTCAAGGCGTCCACAAAACTAAACTTTTATACCAAAGTTAGCTCAGTTTTAGCCAAGATTTCTTTCGACAGATTTTATATCCACTAGAGATGAACATTTTAAGCCAAAACATAATTTAAATTTGTGGATAATGATTTGATTTTCTTTGAATGTTCAAGTTTCTTCACACCCTCTAATGAAACGGAAGCTTCGGGTTCAGAGACGTGTCCTGATGCTAATTAGCTGGGGATTGTTTTTATTCCTTCATTTCACCGAACCAGTGGATCAGACGCACCTATTCTGACAGTGACGCTGAGCTCCCCACGGTTTCCACTTTAAAACCCTTTCAAAATAAAATACAGTGGAATAATCAGAAGCTGGGGCATTCTGAGTTGTTTCACTTTTATTGGGTTGTGTTGAAAAAATTAGTAATAATGGGAATAACTTGGTATATGTTAAAAAATAAACAAACCGTTACGATGCCGAGCCACTAAAGAGACGAGCTAATGTCCTGGGGGTACGCTTGCAAAGCAGAACGAGCAAAAAAAAAATCATATTAATGTATTTGTTTGTCTAAGAAACAGTTTTTTGATTGTTTGGAACCAAAATAAAAAAGTAAATGCAAATTTTATTATTACACAGTCATATTTTGTGTCTTAGAAACCGCAAAACAAATACAGAGCTGCTTTCACAGTTGTTTCTTATTAATTTATTATTTTCTGAATCTACTGCGCTTCATCATTGCCATTAAATTTTGATCAGCTGATGATAAGGTTATTTATTAACTGATAAGAAAACAAATGGTATTTAAAAAATACATATACAGAGCGTTTTGGAAGAATCTTCAGTTGAGCTAAAATTGATCTGCCCCAGTGTTTTAATGTTTTGAGTGTTGTCGCCATCTAGTGGCAGATGATGTGTATTTCAGATTTATTTTGGGATTGAGAGAACAGAAAAATAAAACGTATAAACTAATAAAACATCTGGAATAATGTGATTTAAATTAGGACTAATAGCTTTACTTCTATGTCTGAATGTTTTTTTTTAAACGTATAATCTGACTGTATTTTTTGTTACAACTGAATAATTTTAAATAGTGAGAAATGTTTTCTTATGTTTCCATGCAGCAATAGTTTATTAAACGTCCTTTTCTGAGCATCGCCTCCTGTAAAACATCCGAACCCGTCAGACTGATGTGAGCTGACAGACTGTTTGCTTCTGGTTGGCTTCATTTAGAGACTCGCTCAGCTGCCCGTCAGCCTTTCTCAGGCAGTTCAGCGGCTTATTTTATTATTCAGTCAAAGGATCTCAACAGTGTCTGAATTACCAACGATAAAAACCCTCGGCTATGAGGACACAGGCAGCAGAAATGATGTGTAATCAGTGAAACAAGAAGACAGGGTGATGAGTTTTGCGGAGCTTACGTAGTACTCGGCGTTCAGTCGGGGCAGAGAAGCTGCTCTGCCGTGGTCCTCCAGGCTCAGATATCCCTCTGTGTCTGAAATATTCTCCACCTGCTTCGGTTCAAACGACTCCTAAAACAGAAACGAGTGCACGTTGACGCTCACTAATGAAGCCACGAGTTTAAATGAAATACGCATGAGTGCGTTTCTGTGTCTACCTGTGGTCTGACTGAATATTGCACGTCCTCTGACTGGCCTCTCTGCAGCCTCCTCCGGGTCTTCTGCCTCTGCGCCGCCTGAGAAACGTCTCCAGACTGGGAGTGTTTGATGTTGCTCCTCTGGTTTAATCTGCGAGTGAGCATGAAGGAGTTTTATCAGGACATTTCTGTGTTTTATACATGTCCATATCGCCCTGCTGGTTTTCTGCAAACATTGAGCAGTGCATTCTGGGTAAACGTCTCCGTTTTGGTCCCAGAAGTCTTGTGGTACCTTCAGATTAAACTTTCCAAACATAACTCATGCTGACATTGTTTTTAGAAAGAACAGGCTTTCTCCTGCAGCAATTTCAATAAAGGCATTAACCTTTGACCTTTGACCTGCTAACTGGGACCTGTAGAGTCTAAGACTGAGCTAATTTCTATGAGAATTGCAGAGTCTGACCTTTGGGGTGAATTTGCTGCCATTTCTTACAAGACTGACACTCATGAATAATTTTTCTCTCTGTAGAACGATGGACTCCACAGATAGTTTAGGAATGACCTTTGACCCTTCCCAGATTGACGTGCAGCATCAGTTGCTTCTTAAAGGTCATTGCTGTTGTCTTTTCACCCTGGTGTTGTGTTAACACACACCTGTACGCTGCAGAGAAGCAAAAACTCCTGATTTTATTCAAGGTGAACCCTCTGATGATAATTGGGCCTGTCACGATAATAAATGTTGCTGGGCGATTAATTGTCTCAGAAATTATTGCGATAAACGATAATATTGTTTGAAATTTGACAATAATTTGTAATTATTGTCAAATTTAAGGAGAAATGTTGGTTAATTTTGTGTGTAGTGCCTTTTTTGACCACTGGATGGCAGTATAAGACTGTTTGAACGGAAGGATGGATAGTGAGGGAGCGAGCAGCGTGTCTCTAAGGAAAATGGGAGGGAGGCCTCTTGACGTGACATGGGCTGTCTCTTCGGTTCTCAAAATGGCAGACGCTCAGTGTGGTTTGAGCTCTTCAGCATAGCATTATTCACACGAAGCTTTTAATAAAACAGTAAACAAGTTCTCAGCTTCTTTTTGCAGAAAAAAACAAGTTTTCACAAGAAGGCACGAGTTTCAACTGTGAATTCTGGAGCTTTGACAAAACCAAAACAAAATCTGTGAAATGTGTCGATGGTTTAAATACTTCACGTCTTACATCGTTTCCCTGGTGGTGCTGACGACAGGCGGGACTTCTGGTTGTGATTCTGGTTTAGGTTCTGGTGGGGCCGGTGGTTTGGGGCAGGAAAGCGGCGGCTCTGCGTTGTGAATGTGACTGAACGGCAGCACAGGACGGAACAGCGCTCCGAGTTTACTCTGCGGGGGAGAACATGAACCGTGCAAAGAGTTACCGTGTCAAGTGTCACCATCAGCTGCTTGTCAAAGTTTAGTTTTTCTGTCGAGATTAATTTTCATGTTTTATCAGTTTCCATAATAAAACTCTTTAATAAACGTGTTTTGACTGGATTTAAAAACAGCCGGGACACCGAGGTGAAACGTGTTTTTACCTGCGGGGCCCCGGACGGGTTCTGCTCTTCAAGTCTTTTAGCTCGGTTCTGCTTGTAGAAGTCAAAGATCATGTGAGCGGCGTAGACCTTCCCCACAGTCAGCTCGTTATCTGCAGAGACAGAGACATCCTGATACAAGATGTAGAGACAGAGACATCCTG